GAGAGACATGGATGTGAGAAAAACAACACATCTATTGGTTGCCTTCTTGCATGTGCCCGGTGCCAGGGATTGTACCTGCAACCCAGGTACATGTCCTTGACTGGGAATCGAACTCACAACCCTATGGTGTGCTGGCCAACACTCTTCACCCCTAAGCAACACTGGGCACTAGTACTGCTTTTTGTTTTTCTGGCTGTTTTTTAGTTCCTTTGTTCATTTCTTCCTCCCTGCTGCTTTTCTTTTTGAATTGATGATTTTCCATAGTGATATGCTTTGATTCCCTTTTCTTTAACTTTTGTGAATCCACTGTAGTTTTTTGCTGTGTGGTTACCATGAGGCTTACATAAAGCATATTTATATGTTTTTTTACAGTAATAACAATTTACCTTTTATCACATGTAAAAACTCTACCCTTTTGCTTTCTCCCTTTATGTTTTTGATGTCAACATTTAAATTTTTTATATTCTATATCCATTAACAGATTGTTGAAGCTATAACTGTTTTTAATACTTTTGTCCTTTAACTTTTATACTAAAGTTAATGTGTTAACACATCACCGGATTACAGTATTAGGGTATTCTGAATCTGACTATATGCTTACCTTTACATGTGTGTTATATGTTTTCATTTCATTTTATTTCAGCTTGATGAACTTCTTACAGTGTTTCTCTTCAGTTAGGTTTAGTGGTGATAAAGTTTTATCTCACCTTTATTTCTGAAGCACAACTTTTTCAGGTAAAATATTCATGGTTGGCAGTTGCTCTCTTTCAGCACTTTGGATATATCATCTCATTCTCTCCTGTCCTGCAAGGATAGTGTGATAGGGTTATGTAGGTTCCCTTGTAGGAGAGATTTTTTTCTTTTACTATTTTTAAAAATTATCTCTTAGTCTTTGATGTAGATAGTTTTATTATCATGTATCTTGGAGAAGATTATTTTGGTTTGAAATTTTGGGGTGATGGATTAGCTTCATGAACTTGGATATCCCTCTCTCTCTTCAGGTTTGGGAAGTTCTCAGCCATTATTTCTTTAAATAAGCATTCTACCCTTTTCTCCTTATCTACTCCTTCTGGGACTCCCGAGATGCATACACTATTTCTCATATTAATGTTCTGCAAGTTCCATAGGCTTCATTCATTGTCATTCTTTTTTTTATTGCTCCACTGGTTGGAAATTTCAGTCGATTTGACTTCTAACTCACAAATTCTTTCTTCTACTTGTTCAAGTCTTCTGTTAAAGCTACTTTTGCATTCTTCAGTTCAATCTTTTTTTTTCTTCAGCTCCAAAATTTGTTTGGTTCTTTTTAATGTTTTCTATCTCTTTGTTGAATTTCTCATTTTGTTCTTATATTATTTTCCTGATATTGTTAAGTCATTTATTTGTGTTCTCTTATAGCTTTCTGAACATCTTTAAGATAATTATAGTAAACGCTCAATTTAATGAACTACGGATTTAAGGGACAAAATTTCCAGTCCATATGTCATATGTGAAAATTAGTATTAATTTAAAAAGGCTTTTAACCAAGATTTGCTTATAATTAAATTAACAGGTTATTTTTATGTAATTAATTCACTGTTATTTTTAACAAATTTTAGTGACTAGGCCATATGTTGGAAAAAACACTAGTAATTTTGTCAACATAAATATTGCATATCTACAAGTATAGTCTACATATTTAAATCCAAGAGTCACTGCTTGGAAACAATGTTCAGGGAATGATTAGCACTGTTGTTTCATGGCATGACTTTCTGTAGCAGTTTTAACTCACGCTGGCCTATGTTCCCAGGGCTCTAAGCCACACCCCCACCGTGTGCATTTGTTTACTCGCAGTGACTGGGTGAATGCACGCATTTACTAGACCTATCCTATCTAATAAAGAGGACAAGTATACTAATTGACCCTCACACTGTTGCAAAGATGGTGGCGCCCACAGCCAATAAGGAGGGAATATGCTAATTGACTGCCCCACCCTCAAAGAGGCGGTGCCCACAGCCACAAGATGGTGGCACCCAGTCCCTTCAGCCCCACCAGCACTCCTGCCTCCGGAGTCCCCAAGTCCCCTCATCCCCCCAGCCGCCCAGGGCCGCCCAAGGCTCAGGTAACCAGGGCTGCCCGAGGCTTGCACTGCCGGCAGTGGCAGCAGCAGTGGCAGCAGCAGAGGGGTGGGTTCCCACCCCTGAGGGCTCCTGGACTGTGAAAGGGGGCAGGCTGGGCTGTCCAGTGCATGAATTTTCATGCATTGGGCCTCTAGTATAAATTTAAAATTACCGTTATACATATAGAAAGCTTTTCTGTGAAATTAAACTTTTCATACATAATTTTAATTACACAGATGTGTCTACCTAAGTAAAAACAGTAAACTAACTTGTCAGTTTTTTAACATCTGCATTTGGAAACCCTACTTTATTATATAGTGGACTTGCGGCTTTAACGGACACCTCCTTGCCCAAAATAGTTTGTTATGTCAAAGTTTTACTGCTTTGAGGGTTTTTTTTGTGTGTGTGTTTTTTTTTATCAGGATATTTCTGCTTCTTCATTTTTTGGGGGGCAGTTATTATAGGTTTACTGTATTCCTTTGGCGGAGTCATTTTTCATGATCCCTGCCATCTTGCACAGGTTCCTTCACATTTGAAAAAGCAATCACCTCTGTCAAACTTTATGAACTGGCTTTGGGAAGGGAATAGTTTCACTGCTGGTGGAAGTGTGCTGCGGTCCTGGGTCCAGTGCTGCAGGGCACCAAGTGTTCTGTGTAGCAGTACTAGGTCTGGCAGGGTTGTGGGTGGGCATGATGTCTCTTCAGCTCAGGCCACTGGTGTGTATCCCTTTGACAACTGTGTGGTTCCTGGCAAGCACAGTAAGTGTTCTGCAGTGGCTGCGAAGGCTGTCGGGGTCTTCCATGGCACCTCCAGGTCCAGCTGCTCAGAACCAACGCAGGCAGCATTGGAGACCCAGAACCAGAGGTGTGCACATAGTCAATTACAGGGGGCCAAATGCAGGTGGCAGTGTAGTGGCAGGGGCTGTTTGCAGACACATGATAGTGGAGGAGGCCAGAGCAGCAGCAGGTCTGGGGCCAACTGTGGCCTCACTGGCTGCTACAGAGGCCCTGGTTGCTGGCATGCTCTCTGTGGCTGCGCACACTTCAGGTGCACACTCACCCCTGGGCGTGCACACTGCAGGGGAGGCCTGTGATGAGGTAAGGCCAGTTACATGGCAGGTGCACAGCTGGAGGCGCTAGCTCCACGCTCATGCACAGCAGTGGGGGTCATCACGGCGAGGGTGGGGGGTGTCTATGCTGGGATCTTATGCTTGGGCAGCTGCAGAGACCTGAGCTTGCTACCGCTGGTCGGGACATGGGAAAGAGAGGGAGAGTGGAGGGACTCAGGTGGCTGGTGTCAGCAGACATGAATACCTGTGGGGTGAAGTCTGCAGGAAGTACACAGTGACTACAGCTATACTTGCTATTGGCTTCAGGTAAGTGGCAAAATCGGCTGGGTTTTTCCACTGAGCAGTTCTCTGTGAAGCGCAGTCACTCCCACTCAGTGGCTGCTGCCAGCAGCCCCTGTTTTTCTTCCTTGTTCCTAGCCGGCTTTCTACACTTCAGCTTAGCTGCTCTGGGTGAAACTGGTTGTCACCCTCTCTTTTTTTCCTGGAGAGGGGAAATCTTTCTAGATTGGTAGCTCCCTCTTGATGCTGGGGGATGGGATGATAACTGGCAAAATAAAGATACCTTCCTTCTCTTTTTGTGAGATTACTGTCAGATTTTTTTGTTCCACTGTGTTGTTTATAGATAGCTGACTAACCATTGATCTTTGTGAGGGCATGAGGACACCAGGGCCTCCTGTGTCACCATTTTGGCCCCTCTATCTTCACATTTATTTCCTTTACACTTCTTTATTTTTTATTTAATATTTTTTTCCAAATCCCCAATAAAAATGAGTTCATTGGGGAAAAAAATTGACATCATTCAGAAATGTTTAATACAAACAGAGCATTCACCAAATCTAGTCTCTTTTCAGTACGTGTTTGCATGCTTGTAATTGTAGTACATATACTTTCATGGGCTGCTTTTGGGGGCTTATTAAATCAAATATTTCTCCCAGATTGCTACATAGTCTTTAAAACTGGTATTTTAATGACTGCATAATAGTAGTCCACTGAGTTTTCCGTCATTTACTCATATGTATGATTTTCGATGGTTTCCAGCATTTTTATTGTTGTAATTAAAGTTATAATGGTCAACTTTAGGCATATTATTATTTCTGATAATTTTAGATTATATCCTTAAAATAAAGGATTGAGGTGGAATTATTGAGTTCAAGATTTTAAATGTATAATATCTACTTTCTTTCCAAAGAGTTGTATGTATGTATCAGTGTCATTGTAACAAGAAAGGTCTTTCTTTTCAAGCAAAAATTGATTTCACAGACCCAGCTCTTTTACGTTCCATAGTCTGTGACACCTAGATAAGACAGAAAACATGGGAAGTCCAGTGAAAAAATAGTATTTTGAGAAACTGAAATTAATATTTTGGTTTCTTGTGAGAAGTGAGCTGGTAATGAATTGGGTGTCCCAGAGCACAGCTTTATGTTTTAAACTCAGGATGCTGCTGCTCTCCTTGTTCCTGGCCAAAAATATCAGAAACTTAAAATGTGGGCATATTGTTTTTAAAAAAATAAATTTTTTTTATTGATTTCAGAGAAGGAGAGAGATAGAAACATCAGTGAGGAGAGAGAACCATTGATTGGCTGCCTTCTGCACGCCCCACTCTGGGGATCGAGCCAGCAACCTGGCCATGTGCCCTTGACCAGAATTGAACCAGGGACCCTGCAGTCCACAGGCTGATGTTCTATCCACTGAGCCAAACCAGCTAGGGCTATAGGTATACTTTTTGATAGAAGGTTTGTGTTGTTTATAAGCAAAAGTTTAAGTTATGATATGTTTGAAAGTGAGCCCTTTTACCTAACCAATTTTATTAATGATGCACTTCTTTTCTTCTTCAGAAAACAGACTTCCATAGAAGCCAGACACTGAGCTACACACATGGCTATGCAATGGCTCGTCGTCCAACGGTTGGAATAGGCGGGGACCGGCTCCAGGTCAACCAGCTGTCCCAGGCTGACCTGGATGAGTTGGCCAATAAAGCACCACTTCTAACTTATGGTGAACCTAAGCCGGCTGCACCTCCGGAATTTATCCCTGCGCATGTGGCTTTTGACAAAAAGGTACCATATGGGATTTTAGGGTGCCCCTTGAATTCAAATTTCTGAGAGCCAACTGTTTGCAGAAAAGTCAGTAAACCACAGGTTTTCCAGAGTTCTCTGGAGAGAAAGTTATTCAAATGCCTCAACCCTTAGTCATAGACAGCTGAATTCAGGATTGGAAGGGCCTTTCTTCAGTCAGGAAGCTGATTACAGAAAATAATTCCCCATAGACTTGACTGAAATATTTTCCAAATACAGTTAAGGGAAAGTTGGGTGAATTCTGAATTCTGAGTTCATATTGCTCTATGTTTACCTGCTCTGTGTTTCCTACTTTTTAAAGTTTTATATTCTGTTATGATCACAAATCCTTAACCTCCATGAAATGCAAGATGTCATCATGAGCACAACTCCATCTGTTGTCAGTTTTCTCTGGACTGTCTTCCTAAGTTTCTGTCTTTTAGGGAACACTTCTGGCTTGGCATGGCGTAACGCAAGGGTGGTATAACATTGTGTTTGTGTCTCATTTACTCTTACGCTTTTGTACTGGGAGTTACCTTATTTCCTTCTGTTGACATTTCCACATCATCTTTGGTCTTCCTTGTCAGTGAGTCTCCTCTTTCCACTAAGCCAGGTGGTCCTAACTATGGCCATGCAGTGGAATGACTGATGGGACTTTTTTTTTTAATCTCACCTGACGATATGCTTTTCATTGTTTTTAGAAACAGGGTGAGGGGGAGTGGGGTGGAGAGAGAAACATCAATGTGAGAGAGAAACCAATTGGTTGCCTCCCATATGCACCCCGACTAGGGATCAGACCCACAACCTAGGTGTGTGCCCTGACTGGGAATCAAACCCGCCCTTTTTGGTATGCGGGACGAGTCTCCAACCAATTGAGCCATAGCCAGGGCACCAATGGGACTTTTAAGAAACTTAGATGCTTCCCCAATCCTCAGTGATTCAGATTTCCAGTGATTTTTATGTATAACTGGGACTGAGAATTACCAGTTTTTATAAGTTACTTTTCCTAATTTACTCCTAACCTATTTTTTGATCCTTTAATGTTATTTTTGTTCAATGGCTATACTATTTTCATCCAGCTAGACAACATTTATTGAGTGCCTATGGAAGAAATAGTCTGGTTGTTGTGGCTGATTGAGCATATCCCATACATCGAAGGGTCACCAGTTCCATTTCTGGTCAGGGTACATATCCAGGTTGGGGTGCATGCAGGAGCAACCGATTGAAGTTTTTCTCTCACATCAGTGTTTCTCTCTCCCTCCTCTTTCCTCTCTCTCTAAAGTAATCAACAAAAACATTTTTTAAAATATTAAAGGAATTCTGGATAAAATTTAGTATGGTGGTAGAACTGTGCTATTTACATTAATAGTCAATGAATTTACACACTTTTTAATGTATCAGCCAGAATCAATATAACCCCCATTTCCCCATCTCAATTATCACATTTGATAGGAAAAATTCACATATTCATTCATAATAAACCTAATATCCACTAACTGGTATCAGGTATACATATGGCTATTTCTTTACTTGTTTCTTGTTTCTCTTCTTGATTCACAGCTGTGACAGGCACTGCAAAATCAGTAGATAAGGGAGAGGGGTGAAAATACAAGAGAGGAGTGAGATAGGTATTTAATTATCAAGATATAAATCCTGGTAGGTTCAATTTTTATTGAAAAGAATAGCAAATAACTATGATAAACTAGAAAGTGATACAGTTATATATGTCATGGAAAGTATTATTGAAATGCAGAGAGGGGGAAATTGTGCCTTAATAGAAAATAGGCTTTATATTTTTGTTCTTCTATGTTATTATATGCTTATTGTCATTACTTAATTTATGCTTTTAAAATAGTATTAATAATTCATTTTAAAAAGATAGTAGGCATGAAGAAGTATACTTACATTTTAAATTTCCTATTCATTTTACTTGGGTCATCAAAATTTCTAGATAAATAATCCTTACCATAGATAATAAGGTAGAGAGCAGTTAAACCCATGTTTGTTTGTTTTTTTTATATATATTTTATTGATTTTTTACAGAGAGGAAGGGAGAGAGATAGAGAGTTAGAAACATCGATGAGAGAGAAACATCGATCAGCTGCCTCCTGCACATCTCCCACCGGGGATGTGCCCGCAACCCAGGTACATGCCCTTGACCAGAATCGAACCTGGGACCCTTCAGTCTGCAGGCCGACGCTCTATCCACTGAGCCAAACTGGTCTCGGCTAAACCCATGGTTTTGAAACTAAGATTTTTTTTTAGAAGAGGAATTTATAGTTTTTCTGAATTAAATATGTTTAAGTTTTTTTAGAAATACCCATAGTCAAATTAATAGCAAACATATTTGTCCATATTTTGGACAGACTTTGTACTGTCCCTTATCTTTAGAGTATAACTTCGTTCCTTACACAGTGATAATGACCAGGACATGTGCTGTGAACACCCTCATCTTTTTTCTTTGTTCCCATAACAGTTCTCATTGTCACCCTCTATGTTCAACTTCCCACCCTCATATCCCACTCTGTGTTCCTGATGTTATTCTTCTTTCATCTCTCTTATCTTCAACTTTCATACTACTTCCATTTCAAACAGCTAGTAATTTTTTTACCTAGGGTCAAAGTATGCTGCCTTAAAAAAATTTCTACCTTGTGACCCCTTTAACAACTTCCTTTCTCACTTGACTATCAGATCACTTACAATTTGACATCTCTCTGCCCTCAAGCCCAGAACTATTTTTTTTTTGCCAGCATTCCCTTTGACCTGTTTGCAATATTTGCCATTGTTGATCCTCTCTTCCTTCTTCAAACTTTGCTTTTCTCTTGCTGCACTGAATCTTCACTCCTCTGGTTTTCCTCTCTCTCCATCTGGCTGCTCCTACTCTGGCCTCCCCTTCTCCTCTCATTTTTAACTGTAAGCATTGTAAAGGGTCTGTTCTCATTATTTTATACTAGTGGCCCAATGCACGAATTCATGCACATTGAAAGGAAATTAATTAGAAGAAATATTTTAATATCACTACTTGCCCTTTCTCTATAAGTGTCAACCAATTTCACTACCGACAATGACAGATCAAAACACACACATGCGATTGGCGCCAGTGAGAGCTTTATATGTATTGTGCATGTGTGAGACAGCTTAGCCTTTTATAGATATACTAGGGGCCCGGTGCACGAAATTCAATCACTGCCACTCCTCCTACCTACTCCAGGACTTCTGTGAGGATCAAATGAGATGAGGCACGGGAAAACGCTTCACAGACATTTGGTTAAAGTGTGAAATGTTTGCACCTGGCTATAAAACAAGTCGTGTTCCTGGGCTGAAGAAACTGCAAGGAGGCTAGCCGTCGCTAGGGAGAGGAAGCCAGGCATTGCTACGTGATGTCATTACCCAGATGGACACTTAGCATATTAGCCTTTTATATATATAGATTCCTCAGAGAGATTTTGCCCACTTTTATGGTTTCAACTGTCATCTCAAAGTAGACAACTATTGATACTTCCAATTCTGACCTTTCTGAAAATGCCATAAGATATCTCCACCTGGATGAGCTGTGGGCACCTCAGGTTCTGTATGTCTTTAACCCAGACCACTACCTTTTCTTATAGGTGTGCTCTTTCTGTATGGCTCCACTAGGTAATCAAAGTGTGAAACCCAAGCCATTTCAGGTTTTCTCCCCCTTCAGTGAGTTGCCAATTCAAGTATATCTCACTTCCATTTCCTCTACACTGTCATAGTTCAAACAAGAAATTTGTTAACTGTTAACATACTGTTAACCTTTGTAGTAGTCCCACACCTGTTTTTTTTATGCTTGTAGCATGTCCAGTGCTTGGTTTAGTACCCAAAGCACATTATGTCATTTTTCTGTGAAAATGCCTTCAGACTCTCTTAACCAGTATAGTAAATATTACCGCTATCCACCTCACTGCTTTCGTCCCCCAACCTGAAAGTCATCCTTGATTCTTTTTCCTCACAAGCGCTATCATTTCCATCTCTAAAATGTATAACTACTTTGCTCATTTATTTTCATCTCTCTACTTACAATTAACTTTCCAATTAGCAGGCAGGCTTATCTTTTAAAAGTAGGTATCAGTTTTGCGTTTTCTCTTTCCAGCCGGCGCCACAAGATCAGGGGCAAGAGAAAGCCCTACCACAAGAACTGAAACAACACTAAGATTGGACCCCTCCACATACACACAGTCCGAGTGCCCGGAGGCAACAAGAAGTACCTAGCCTTGAGGCTTTGAGGCTGGACGTGGGCAACTTCTCCTGGGGCTCAGAGTGTTGTATGCACAAAACAAGGATTATTGATGTTGTCTACAATGCATCCAACAACAAGGTGGTCCCCACCAAGACCCTAGTAAAGAACTGCATTGTGCTCGTTGACAGCACAGCGTACCGACAGTGGTACGAGTCCCACTACGCACTGCCCCGGGCTGCAAGAAGGGGGCAAGCTGACTCCTGAAGAGGAAGAGATTTTGAAGAAAAAACAATCAAAGAAAATTCAGAAGAAATATGATGAAAGGAAAAAGAATGCAAAAATCAGCCATCTTCTCGAGGAGCAGTTCCAGCAGGGCAACCTTCTTTCATGCATCGCTTCAAGACCAGGCCAGTGTGGCTGAGCAGAGGGCTGTGTGCTCGAGGGCAAGGAGCTGGAGTTCTATTTGAAGAAAATCAAAGGACTGGAAAAGCAAATAAATCCTCTTCCCTCCAATCTTAGCTCATGTAATAAAGGCGTTTATTCTAAAAAAAGAATAGGTATCAGATTGTCACGTACTGACCTAAAACATTCTCATGGCTTTCCCAGTGTGTAGGCTAAGATCCAACTCTACAGGTTCCTCACAGTCCTCCTGGGTCTGGTCCCCCCTGCTGTTTCTCCACCCTCCTCTTGGGCCTAGCTTTTCCTAACCCACTGTGTTTCATTCACAATTGATTTGTTTTCCTTATTCTGTTGAAACTGTAGCATACCCCCCTCCCCCATTACAGGGCCTTTGCACATGCTG